CAGACAAGCAAAGCTGGCTTCTTTTCTACCTGAATGGCCTCTAACAAGTTATTCCACGCCTCTGAGTTTTATTTCTTTGCCTGCAAAGACAGAATAATGCATTCTACTCACAGGGCTATTGTGAAGGTAAACTGAGAAAATGCATGAAATCATCGTGCATGTGAGTACTGAGTACCCCAAACCTGCAGCTGAACTATCATATTATAGCTCTATTTATTAGCTGAACTGTTTCTATGGAATGGCTTTTGTATTAAGTTCTCTCAGGTCAGCAAGAAAATTGTCTCTGTCATTGGGTTATGGGAAGGCCACAACAATAAGTCCTCCTACAAATTTTGAAATGTGAGTTTGGTGACAAAACCACAACTGTTAATGTTCACCAGCTTAGAAATTTGATTTTGAAAGAATTTGATTGAAATTAATGGGCACACAAATAACTATGTTTTCCTTCTGTATTTAATAATTTTAGAAGTTGCCTATAGAAATGACAATGGGGAAGGGTTGTTCAATTGATAACCATAAAATGGTGACATGAATTGAAAGTGGGATTTTAGAATTATAAATTATAGCCCCCGGCTGAGCTGCATCAGCCTGGACTATACCACGGTAGCCAGGTTCGATTGATGAAAATGGCACAGCCAGATTTGGGTTTGAGACATAAACAGAGAGAAGCCCATAGCAGTTTTAGAGACACTCAGGTCAAGTTCGAACTGGGCCTATGGCCATTCAGATGTAGCCATTACCTGCCCAGTTCTAACACAGAGCAGGGCAGGGCAGGTTGGATGCAGTGCGGGGTTTTGGCTTTGATTCCTGGGCTGGTTTTGAAAATGGATTAGACAGGTCCAAGCCCCCACTGACATGTTATGTTCGAGCAAACACCAGCACCAATTAAGTCTTGGAAACAGCTGGTTTGGAAAGTGAACGAATCAGGTTTGAACGATAGTACCCTGAAGGGGGATGTTAGCGGAGACTTAGGAGAGGCTGAAAAGCTGTCTAGGAGTCGAGCTGCTTGGGAGGGGTTTGCTGGGGAGGCCAGAGTCAGATTGAACCAGCATGTGAGGCTTGATTTGACTCAGGTTTGCCTCTGCTGAGATGGTGTTTCAGGAGATAAACTTCCCTTTGTAAATAAACTTGTTGTTACACCTTGAGCCTGAGTGGTTAGTTGCAACTGTGAGTGCACAGGTGAGAACCCCCAAACAGTGAACTGTCCCCCAAGTGCTCTGGTCAGAGACTTAGCCATAGGAAACAGGAAGCCCTCTGCCCCTACTGCCAGGTGTCCTGAGTCCAGTCAGGGTTCCTGGGTCACCTAGGGAAATAATCCATCAAATAGAAGGCTGAAACTATAACTCAGGTCCAGGAACACATGACACCAACTGTAAGGGATTATTTCAGAGGCCCAGGAAATCTCTCAGTCATCGCAAAGTTCCATTCCAAGTGCCATGTCCAGCCTGCTGACATCACACTGGATGGGAAATACAAGAAAGGAAAGTAGGAATGAAGGAAAGGGAAGCTGAGGCCGTCTCTTGTACTTGGTGTCCTAAATTTGACTCACTGAAAATTTTTAAAAGAAAGTCAAAGTGTAGACTTCCCCAGAGCAGGGAGACATCTCTGGTTTCGGCAAACCCCAAAGCAGATTTATTTATTTATTTATTTATTATTACAAAAGTTTATTTTTCCATCATTTTGTACATTTTTTTTTTCCATCTCGATTGAAATCCCCATGGGTTTCCCATCACCAGGTCACCCTTGTGCCATCACCATAATCCTGTGCACTTTCCTCCCCACCCCACCCCATTTTTGATCCCACTCCCCACTCCACCCCCACAAAATGTCTCTGGTATATGGTTGTTCATTATTTTTGTTATTTTCTCGCCTGGTCCATTATACTCCTGCTATGAGCGAAACCATCCAGTATTTTTCTTTCTCTTTCTGGCTTATCTCACTAAGCATGATCTTTTCCAGCTCCATCCAAGTTGCGACATGTGTTTCTCTTTTTTGGTTGCTGAGTAATATTCCATTGTATATATGTACCACATCTTTTTTTATCCAGTCATCTACTTTTGGGCATTTGGGCTGCTTCCATGTTTTTCCAATTGTAAATAAAGCAGCAATAAACATGGGGGTACAGGTATCTTTTTCAATCAGTGTTTTTGTGTCTTTTGGGTAGATACCTAGGAGTGGGACTGCTGGGTCGTAGGGAAGCTCCATGTTTAGCAGTTGAGGAACCTCCAAACAGTTTTCCATAGTGGTTGTACTAGTTGGCATTCCCACCAGCAGTGCAGGAGTTTCCTTTTTCTCCACATCCTCGCCAACATTTGTTGTTGCTAGTTGTTTGAAGATGTGCCATTCTCACTGGGGTGAGGTGGTATCTCATTGTGGTTTTATTTGCATCTCCCTTATTACGAGTGATGTTGAACATTTTTTCATATGTTTGTTGGCCATCCCAAAGCAGATTTATTTTAAAATGCCTTGTTAACAGCTGCGATTGCTGAGTATGGGACTAGCACTGGCCAGGTTAGCGTCTAGTTCATTGAAACCAGCTGAAGTTCACACTTCACCCACTTTTGTTTCAACTGATCTCATTGAACAGTTGACACAAGAAACTTCAGTTCACACTTTTTCCATTTGTTTTGCTTTCACACTTCCAAACCAGGTAGGTCTCATTGTAGTGCCACCCTCCCCCTCAATATGTGGGTAGATAGAGAAATAATCACAGGGAGGAGAAATAAAGTTTGCATTCAAACACATAATTTGCATTATTGACAAGCCTCCAGTGCTTGCTTATTAGTTACAGGTCAACTACAGAAAGGCCATCCATGTGTGAGAAGCATAATTTAGGAACCCTGTAAAAACATTTAGGATTTAAACCCCATTTACTGAATGACCCATACATAGCAATTAAGTCACGTGTGAAATTGAACCCAGCCCTGAGGAATATTTATGTACATGTTGTTTGAAATCCTGTCTGAAGGTTTTCTAAGAAAACTGTGTGCTCTAGGATCAAATGCAGCTTAACCATCCCGCCTCCAGATTGCCACCGTCCTATCCTAAATCATCTTGGTATTCATGAAACATTCAGATATATTTATCATAGCCCATTAAGAAAAGAAACCCATTTGATCAACGAAGGTTTTTTTAATTTTTTAAGATTTTTTTATTTATGCCATGTCCATAGACACAGAACTGGGGTACAGGCCAGAGGTGCAGGGGCAGTGAGAGAATTCACCAGAGACAGAGTGGGGGGCAGGACAGGCTGACCGTCTAAGTACACTGCTGAGGGGAGCAGTGGGCAGGTCAGGAGAGGTCTGCCATGCCATGTGCATCACCCCCAGGACATGGATCAAACTCATCCTGAAGTGGTTTTAGTTTCTTAGTGCTATGCTTTAACCTGCTGCACCACTAGGGAGGGCCCAGGTTGTTCAAATTTTAAAGCATCCTGTTCACATATGTACACAGCCACTCCTTGAATCATTTACACGGTGTCCTGTGTGTCTGTCTTCTGAGCAGCTGTTTCCACTGCGGCACCAATCCGTCTGAGCCACCTCATTCAGGGTCAGGCCCTGACGGAACAACCTGCTCCCCTTCACCCCAGCTCCTATCTCTTACCAAGATTAGGGGCCAAGCGTGTGGAGGACTTTGGGAAGTCCATCAAAACTAATATAGAAATTATCAAATCACAACCCCATGAGCAAAGATAATGTTTCCATACAGGGGAGAAAAAAAAGAAAGCAAAAACTGACAGCTGGTTCTTCTCCCTGAATCATATCCACGAGGTACAATTTTCTGTACAATTTCTTGTTCATTTGTTATTTTGCAATACTTTCCCTTGACCTTAGGAATACTTAAACTGATGCTATCCAAAAATAAATAGACTTATAATTTAACTATTTAAATGTTTACAATTAAACTAGTCTTTAGCTACAGAGATAATTTTGCTTACAGACAATGGTTAATATGCCTATGATTCTTACAGTCACTCCACAACAGAGAAAATAATGTATAAAGTGCAAAGAGAGTAAACAAGAAAAAGTTAAATTTGGACAACTTCTATTGACTATCAAGACTTTCCAAACCCAAGTCTAGTTATTTAGCACTGGACTTTGCAAAAATGAAAAATAAGCTTCTTTGAACTTCTCAATGTGATATGATGAAAATATAGTAATCTGTAATCGTGAACAATTAGCACTTGAAAGTGTGTATTTTAGGTATAAAAAAAATCTAAAAACTACCTTAATTCCATCATTCAAATGTCAAGTCAACGTTTCATTCTAATTTTTCTCCATTTTTTGTAAGACAGTAGTGAATAGGCCCTTTGAAAACAAGATTTATTTAAGCCATTTATTCAAGAAATTTGTCCTCTAGACTCCAGGAAAATAATTTCTATCACATTCCTGTCCTTTGTGATATATTCATGCCCTTCAAAAGCAATTGAAATTATTGACATAAAAAGCAAGTTAGTTTGGCCACTCTGCTGTTTGAAAGACAAATTTTGTTAAATAAAATTAGAGGTCAACAAAGTGCTCCCTCATTATCACACCCTTCTTTTTTCCAAAGATTTAGCTAGTCTCAGGTGGTAGCTCTCAACAGATGGTACACCTTAATGTATGTGAAGTGTAAGGGTCAAGTTGAAGCCATTGCAACGTATCAGCTCCCCCTCTGTTTATGGCCTTCCTAGTGTGGGAGATTTGTTTAATGATCAATAGTGGTTTCCAGCCCTACCATGGAGTCTTTCCGAAGGTAACATAACCAAGTCAATGTTTAACTGAATTCTTTGGGTCTGAACTGAAAGTAGGAGGTGTCAGAAAGTTTCCATGGAAACCAGCCTCCTCAGAAGTGACCACAGGGGTTAGTGTGTGTGAAACAGAGCTTGAAAGGTGTCGTGAAGGAAGGGAGTGCTTTGCAAACTGGGGCCTACGTAAGAAATACCTTGATTGAAACAAGCTACATGAAGACCCTAAAAGCACTTTCCTGGTGGTTTTCCCTTTGAAAGTGTTCAATGTGAAATGGGCCTGAATCATTCTAAGACTCACCCTAGGGTGACCAAAGTAGCGCCTTACCAAAACAAAGAAGGAGAGACTGCCTTGGCTGACCCTGTGGACTTTGCATTTAATCAGAATCTGGAAGAACAGAGTTCGTGTTCGCTCGCAACAGTGCAGGACCGGAGTGCAGCTGTAGGAAGACAACTGCCCCCTCTACGAGATACCTGGTATGGAAGACACTCTGCAGGTAACCGTGAAGCGCAGCATGACATTTGTGTACTTCAGCCGAGGACAGCTGTTGATAGATTTATGGGACCGTCTCCCTGATCTCAGAAAGTTTCTAAATCTTTATAAGGTGAGGGAATGTTTTTCAGTGGGAGACTGAACATCTATCCCTTGTAAGTACTCTGAGTACACTGAAAAGTGCTTTTCACCGTTTCACCTGGAAGGACAAATTTAGTGTTATCTTAGTTTATAGTGCTTTTAATGTATCTAACAGTGTGTGTACCTCACCAGATGATTAATGTAGATAAAATTGTGACAATTTATGATAATCACATGTTTCAGTTCATTCTGAACTGATTTAAATCATTCTCTCCAATATTGTTTCAAGTTTTGTTTTGAAAGCAGCACTTTAGGAGAGCACCGATTCTAATGTGAATTTGAAAACCACCCCCTACAGAACTGGTTTATTACAATAAGATGAGTGAACAAGTCCCAATTGTTTCACAATCATCTGCAAAATTAGAGAATTCTCCCCATTATGATGGGAAGCTTTACATCCGAAGTGACTGTAAATCATCCTGGGATACTTCATAAAACATAAAATATTATATGGCAAGAGTAATGAAAATTAAGTGGATATTCTAACTTGGAAAGAGAAACATATCTATATAATTCAGACACATATATGTATATTTCACATCGAGAATCCGTGCAAAAGTAACTTCCTATTAATGGTCAACTTTACGAGAAAGCATTATGTCCCCTTTAGCTACTTAGTAGATCTTAGAATGATTTTCATGACTACTTGCCTTAGAACTGACCACCTGTGTTCTATATAGTCAATTTTTATGTTTTCCAACTTCCTGAGCAAGTTAATGGGAATTTTCCTCTGAGTTTCACTGCAGAATTCCATTTTTACCCACACTCTCTATCCAGAGTTTGAAGATTTTATTAACTGAATGGTAAAAGTAGATTCTAATTAGATACTCAAGCAGAAAATGTTCATTTTTGAAATGCAAAAATCACATTAAAAATAAATAACAAGGGGATGGTCAGCATTTTGTCTACTATTTTCAAGGGTCCCACATTCTGACTCCAGTTATACCAAATACCAAATTATATGACTTTGCATGAATTATTTCATCAGTTTTCTTCACCTATAAATTAAGGATAAAAATACTCTCCTGATACAACTTTTGCCATTTTGGGAGAATCAAATAATTGGGTCATAGCACTCAAACCATAGTATAAAAAGTAAATGCAAGAGGACAATAATACAGTCTACACAGCAGTCTAGAAATCAGAATGCTGCACTGGTCATGGCAGTAGATTCAAGGTTCCAGGATAATCAAGCTAAAACACAAAATCCATAATGATGGGTCTGTTGAACCTGTCTGCTTCCTAACAAAGTTTAACTCTGTGCTTCTGGCTTGTTTCACCAGGAAAGAATATTAAGTTGTATGCTAGTGGCAACTGATGGAAATCTCTTCCCCAAGTTGGGGGATAATTATAACTGGAAACATACATTGCCATACATTGAACATTTATGCACTCATGTTTCATTTCTTTATCACCATTCTCTCTGGATCTAATCTGTACATCTATCTGTATATTTAAGTTAAAAAGAAAACTTTTCTTCACTTCTTAAAACTATAAATTATCATTTGCATTAATGTAGGGCCCTGTTGTATGTGTTTCATCTCCATATTCAACCTGTAAGTCAGACACAAGTAACTGAAAAGGCACAAATTGTGTCAACAAAGTCTAAAAACTAATAGTCAACCTAATTTTGTTTTTAATGGTTTGTTCTTGTTTCTTCCTCTATTTTTTAAGTGCCCAGGCCCATCTATTTTGACATCCCAGTGGAACAGGGAGAAACAAGTATTATTAAAAGGCATCCACCCCGAAGACTTCAAGTAAGATGAATTTAAAAAGCTTCCTAGGAATTTCTTGGATTTAATGGTAACATCCCCTTTTAACTATCATCATAAAAAAGGGGTATTGGCTTCGACCAGGTTAATGAGAATGTTATTAGAGAGAATTTTGTCAGTTACGAAGACTGCATTCTTTAGGATTTCCTTTTGTAATGATTTACTTTTAAGACCACCTCCAAAAGAAGGAAGTATAGTATCAAACCACAGATATGATGGTTCTCAAGAGACCTAACTCTTGTTTGGATTAGCTGAGCAACTATGGGGTAGTCACTGTTCTCTAGCTGCTACCTATTAGATGTACTCTGGATAACTGGATCTGTGCCTTTCATTTATTCCTTATGCCCCTCTGTGGGAAAGGCGGTATCTTTGTTTTATGCATGTGAGCCAGAAAATTCTAAGCAACTTGCCCATGGACAACAAAGGCCAGTATTAACCTTCAGCATAGATGATCTTTATAGCCCTTCTATCCTAACGTTTTTACTGTTTTAAAGGTTAACTGATTATTGAAATTGAGGACATTGGATTCCAAGGCAGCAAATGCTTTACATGCATTCACATTAATAAATGTTTAATGAATTCTCTTTCAAGAAATAAAAATTGTAAGAACTCTCATCTTAGATGGGGATAAAGATCTGAGTGGATCCTTGAAAATGAGCATCAGCTAAAAGGAGGACCCTGCTCACAAGGGCAGGGTCTATCACTGACATTTGAAAAAGTAAATTGGAGCCAAATCCCACCTGCTACACACTTCACCCAGTTGTCTGGACCAATCCCAGGGGCATATGAGCTCATTTGTTGGGGATTATTTCTGTTTCAGTTGGTGTTATTTACCTGTCTTCTTTAGAAGCTAGATAATAATCATTATTCAAAGTGATTAAATCCTGTGATCACAGGATTTCTGATATTTCCCCAAAATATCAGAAATCTCAAAATATGATTTAAAGAAAAATAAAGTATAATTCTATCAAATTGAAATAAAATTTTCAGTTTTTCAACTTATCTTTAGCTAAACTAGGCAGTCTTAAAAATGTATGTTTTATTCCTAAATCCACTCTGTCCTTCCAAAGGAGTGTGTTTAACATATGTCCCTGTGGAGACTATTAAACTAAATAACTCAATAGAAGACATTATTATAATCAATGAAAAGTATTTGTGTAAAAATCTACAGTTTGAAAAGTGCTTTTTATATCTACCAATGCTGAATAAGTTAAAGTTAAGATTTGATTCTCTCAAGTCAATCAAGCTCAAAAAGAGAGTTTTGGTATTTCTGAGTCAAAGACTTCACCACTACACCCTAATTGACCACTTTAAAAAATGAAGAATCAAGGAGAGATGGGTTATTTGAGCACAAAGAATATTTTCCTAATATGTACCTCACAAAGATTTGTGAGTGACCAAGTGGTGAGTAACTGGATGAATGAATGACAGTGAGATCCACTATCTCTGGTGAGAGAGAAATCACAGTGTATTTCCTCCTACTGACCTATAGCCACATTGTATCAGCGCTTTAGTTGACTAGCCAAAGTAACCAGTGTGATTCACTGTAAGTCTACAGGAAGGTTTTATTGAATCTAAGAACAGGTAAAGTTGGACTTCAGAAAGAGCTGTGCCTTAGAACCTCAAGTGCAGAACAGCTCTGTGCCTTCTCTGTGTAAAGGCATTTGCTTCAGTCTCCCTGACGTTTTATTTTTCCTGCTCAAGACCACAAGGTAAAGTTTGGCCACCCCTAATTTGCATCTTTTTATTACAGTCAAATGGGTGGTCTGGCCTGGCCCTCTTGCTGTAATTCCAAATTCCTGGAGAAAAGATCTTAGTGGCCCTGCTTACTGATGGTTCCAGTTCTGGTCCAGTGAGCTATGACTTGAACAAGCTCCTGCAGTGGCCGTGTGGGCGCGGGAGCACCGCCGCTAACCCCGCTCTGGATTCCGGAGGCAGCTCCCAGAGAAGAGGAAAATTGCTGGGAACTTGGCAGACACTTCCGAAGATATCAACTATAATTATCTTCACAAATGAGGCTCAGCGCATTTTCTACCACAAATGGGTTTTTGAGAGAATAATAAATGCTGGGTTCCCATGACATGCTAATTAATAGCCTAATTGCTGCCAAAAAAATTCTAAAAGTATTTTTAATTATTAAACCAAATCTAATTGCATCCTAAATAATTTGAATAGCATATTTGGTACACTCCACTTCCTGAACATCTACTCCTCAAAAAAAAGGGCAGGTCATATATAGGGTGGTTCTCTACCTTGGGGTTGCTGTGATCTGAAGTCCTCTACCAGGGAATTCTAATCAAACATGCCTGCCCACTGTTGGAAAATCAGTTATTATTGTCCCTCTGGCCTTCTCATCCAACTGTCACAGGGCCAGCCAAGATAGAGTAGTCCTCCCCCACCCCCTATATGGTGAGTTCTCTAGTGATCTTCTTGGAAATGACTCCATCATCTCCAAAGACTTACTTAATTCTCACCTTTCCTATATAACCTGTTGATAATTGCAACCCTCACCCTGGCATTCTTGATTCTCCTGATGTTTCACTAAGTGTCTTTTCCCCAGAGCCCTCATTTCCATCTACTGCTTACCTTGTATTATGATCATGTATTTTCTTCATCACCTCCTTCACCCCACCCCCAGTGCCAAGAATATAATCTTCACAGAAGTAGTGATCCATATCTGTTGTTGTCACTAAGTGTCTAGAACAGTACCTGACACACAAATGAGTGATCAACAGGTATGTGTTAAATAAATGTTTAATGAATAAGAGCAGAAGGAAAAAAGATGAGCACAAAGACTGCTGGGGAGAGATAAGAGGGTGTTCTGACTTCCATGGTTTCATCATGCATTTCGGCAATTACCTAGTCAAGCAATAGATTCCCTTTCCTTGTCTTTTCTAATCCTTTAACCATTTTCTAGTATCTCCAGTTATCTTTTTCTGTGTAGATTTGTGAGAGGGCCCTATAGATCTTAGATCCTGTTTTTGGTTAGCTACATCTATTGCAAATATCTTCTCTCCACTATCTCTGCCTTTTCATTTTGCTTTTGTGTGTGTGTATGTCCTCAATCTTAATCTTTATATATTTCTTGTATTTTGTCTAAGAAATTTTTATCTTCCCCAAGGTCATAAAGATATTCTTTATTTCTTTCTAAAAATTTTAATATTTAAGTTTCCACGTGTAGATCTTAACCCACCTGAAATTCATTTGTGTCCAGATGTGAAGTTGGAATCTCCTTTTACTCTCTTTCCACTTGATGTATCAGTTGTCCCAGAACTCTGTGGAACCATCCATTCTTTGACCATGAATTTGAAATGTTACTTTGTCAGGTAGCCAATTTCCAGAGCATCATGAGTGTTGCTGGGCTCTCTCTTCTGCTGCATTGATCTACTGATTGATCTCACAGGAATTCCACTATCTTACATACTTTCAGTATTTAAGTCTTCATGTGAAAGTTCCCCGTCTTCTTTTTCAGAGTTGTCTTTGCTATTTATGATCTTTCCTTTATCTGAGAAGCTTGGATCATCTTGTTAAGGTTCATGAAAATTCTTTCTAGCCTTCTGACTGCAGAGCATTCACAGAATCATTCATTTGGGGAACATTAACAGATTCACAGTTGAGTCTTTTTTTTTTTTTTAAAAGATTTATTTATTTGTGCATAAAGAGCTGAGGTACAGGCCAGAGGCTCAGGGGCGGCAGGAGGCTTCACCAGAGACAGAGTGGGCAACAGAACAGGCAGATCCATGAAGTACACTGCTGAGGGGAGCAGCGGGCAGGTCAGGAAATGTCTGCCACGCCATGTGGTCACCTCTGGGGCTGGCGGGAATCGAACTCATGCGGAAGTGGCTTTAGCTTCTCAGTGCTGAGCTTTAACCTGCTGCACCACCAGGGAGGGCCCCACAGTTGAGTCTTTTAAACCATGAACATGGCATAAATCTTCATTTGCCCAGATACTGTTTTAGCTAGTTCAATAATGTTTCATAACTTTGCCATTGTTTTGTTTCCAGGCATATACCTGTACCAAACAATGTTCAACCAGAAAAACTGAACAGGTAGAGATAGATATAGAGGTTTATTGCAGAGAACTGACCTACATAAACATGGAGGTTGGCAAGGCAAGTACAAGTCGATAGGGCAGGCCATCATGGAAGATAGACTGGAACTGGGGGGGTAGGAACTGAGGCTACTGCTGTCCACAGTGGAGTTGCCTTTTCTTAAAGTCATTGCTGCTCTTTAGTCTTTCCTATTGATTGAATCAGGCCTGAAAAATTATCTAAAATAATCTTCCTGACTTAAAGCCTATTTACAAAATAATTTCACAGCAACATCTTGATTAGTGTTTGGATAACTGGAGACTGTAGCCTACCCAACTTGGCACATAAACTGATTATCAAAATATCTTATGGATTTTTCATCATTTTATAAATGAGCTTTATTTTTGCCATTTATTTTTCTCAGTGATTATTTTTGGTAAATTAAATAGCTATTGATTTTTGCATGTTGAATTTTGTGTTCCATAACAGCATTGACATACTTTGGTAAATTCCCACCATCTATTTATTCTTCTAGTCTTTCACCATAGACAATATAAAAAAAATTTTTTTTTAAGATTTATTTATTCATATGCAGGGGGTGAGAGGATTCACCAGAGACAGAGTGGGGAGCAGAACAGGCAGACGAAGTGCACTGCTGAGGGGAGCAGTGGGCGGGTCAGGAGACCTCACCATGTGGACTCCTCCGGGGCAGGTGGGAATCGAACTCATGCAGAAGTGGCTTTAGCTTCTCAATGTAGTGCTTTAACCCGCTGCACCACCAGGGAGGGCCATAAAAAATTCTTTTTATAAAAAAGAATGTTTTCTTCTCTTCTCAGTTTTGTTGCTTTATTTCCTTGACTCTTGTACTGGCTAGCATTTTCTTTGAAACATTGAATGTGAGCAATAATACTTGGCACCCTTCATTTAGAGAGGGAGATATTTCTAGAACCTGAAAGAAAAGAATCAGGTAGAGGAAGCTGTCTTGAGAGGAGCAGTGGGACACAGCACCCAGGGTGACCTTGCAGGGAGGAGGGAACATGTTGACCTCATTCTCTTTCCTCTTTCAGATCTCCTGCCAGGAATCCTCAGTGTCTGACACAATGTGAAGCTAGAAGAAAGGAGAGACTGCTTAGTCCTTGGCAGAGAACAGGGTAGAGAAATGTGACAAGTGGGTCTGCAGAAATAAGTGGAAGAGAGCTGTCACAATGCCATGTGTTAAATTATGGGCATTCCCTTTACTTCCAAATGTCCTGAGAATTTTCCTAAGGTCCAGTGTTAAATTGTATTGAGTATGGAATTCCTTTTTAATCAGCTAATACAATGCATTACACAAACAGACTTCATGGTGCTGAGCCTTGTTTGCCTGTCTGGCATAAGCCTACTTGGTCATGAGGTGCATACTTGAACACACTGCTGAATATGATATGCTTAGACTTTTGTGTTTATTTTCCGTAAGTGAAGTTGTTCTGTAGCATTTCTATACTGTCTTTTTCTAGTTTGTTCTCAAGGGTATTCTAATTTTTATGAAATGAGTTATTTATCTTTCTCTCTTTTCTATTCTCTTCAGCTCTATAACACAGTAATTACCTAGTTCTTAAAAGTTTCATAAAACAGGCCTATGAAACTATCTTTGTAGAAGGGATGCATTTTTCTGCTAACTTGATTTATTTGCTGACTCTTAGTTAATGTAAATATCTTATTTCTTCCTGATTCAATTTTGCTTTTTTTTTTTCAAGCTGTTGTTCTATTTCAAGCTGTTGTTCTATTTCCCCATTTATATGGAACATTTGTAGACACTTTTCAACCTACAGATACCACCAGACTTACCAGCAGTGCTAAGTACCTTCTTGATTAGCTTCCTTCAAGTCTGTGTGCATATTCTGTTTTCTGGCTCATGGAGTTGTTTATCTTTATTAAAGCATGACATTGTCTTTTGAATTTTATTGCTAGATGTTTGGAACAAAGAATGTTATTGAAATATGAGCTCAGTGTCTTGACCAGAAATTCCTTCATGGCCTCACAAATTCTTGGTCTAAGGCTGTCAACACTCCCTCCTTCTTCCCAGAACTTTAAAGAACACATTCTAAGTCATAGGGCCATCAAATTTTATAGTTTTATTTTCTCCTGTCCACCATTGTCTGCCTACTCGGAGGCAAAAGCTCCCACCTCAGGTTGGTATGGATCACCAAGCTCAGTGAATTAAGCTGGATTTGATCACCTTTCCTCAGTCTCCTGATGCTTCCCCGGATTATCCTACCATTTGCTTCATCTGAAAAGTCAAATAACCCAAAATGCTTTCCACAAATACTACATTTTTATAACATGAAATGAAAAAAGGTATCATCCCACCAATGGTAATCCTTTCTATCTTCTCTATGAAGATGATGAACTAAGCATCTTGCTTCCCAAGTGGGGAAAAGGAACACTGACATGAACCCTGAAAACTGATGTAATTTCCTTTAACTCTTTTTTTTTAAAAAAAAGAATTCTATTTTCTAATAGTTTTTATTTTTTTCTGCTTCTCAGACCAAGTGCAAATGATTCAGCTGAGGGATCTCTTTGGTAGTGCTAGTTGCTGCCCTCTAGTGCTTCCCCCCCCTCTTTCTGGAGGAATATGATTCTGAGTTCCTTTCTTTTTTTTTTTTTTTATAGATTTATTTATTTGTACATACAGAACTGGGGTACAGGCCAGAGGCTCAGGGGTGGTGAGAGGCTTCACCAGAGACAGAGTGGGGAACAGAACAGGC